CTGCATCTATTGCCACCCACCCAGGCCCAGGCAGACCATGAACAAACTCACTTGCCCTTGAAGTCCTCAGCCAGGCTCTGCATCTTGCTCAGCTCCCCTTCCAGGTTCTCCCTGTCTGTCATTAAGCTGCTCAGGTGCCTCCTGAGGTTGTTCACATAGGTCTCGAAGATGGGCTCAAGGTCATTCCTCACAGTTTTGTTCCCCTGTTCTTGCAGAAGGGCCCACTTGGTCTCCAGRACCTTGTTCTGCTGTTCAAGGAACCGGACCTGGAGGGAGAAAAGTTCTTTAGGATGGTTTTCCTGGGGAAGCTGAGGGATATCCTGCGAGGATTCACTTGGTGGAAGGTGGGAGCCCTCAGCCCCTGGGGAACAGCTGACAATTCAAACATTCCTGCTCTCTTTCCCAACTCTGCTTCCTCACACCCAGCRCCACCACTTTGTCCCTGTTTTCTGATCTCACCTCAGCATTCCCGGGAAATGTTAAATGCTCTCAAATCTGGAAACACTTGGGATTTTTTTCCCAGGCTGCTGATGTTAGAACTGGCAGTACAGGAGCAGCAAAATTGGGGATGAAGATTGGATGAAGATTTTGTGCTTCCCCACCAAAGAAACACCACAGCAAAACCAAGAATCTATGGTCTCACCTTGTCGATGAAGGAGGCAAATTTATTGTTGAGGGTTTGAATCTGCTCCTTCTCCTCCTTGCGGATGCTCTGGATGTTGGGGTCGATCTCCAGGTTGAGCGGCTTCAGAAGGCTCTGGTTCACTGACACTTCATGGATGCCCCCGGCTGGGACAGCRGGGAACCCAGGGCCACCACCAAACCCAAAAGGACCGGCAACCGCCCCGCCAAACCCGCAGGAGATCCCAGTGCCAGCACCAAAACCTGCAGATCCGCAGAACCCTGAGCTTCTCCCGGCTACAGAAATCCTCTGGCACCCGCTGAGGCCATGGAGGCTCCTGCTCCCAAAGCCTCCAGTGACCCTKCCATGGCCAGTGGTGGCCACGCAGCTTCTGGGATGGGGCACAGGGCGTGGGCAGTGGCCGGAGATGCTGGGGATGAAGGCAGAGGCGGCGCTGAARGCAGCTCTGGTCTGGCTCTTCACRGTGCACTGGCGGGACATGGCAGCTKCCAGRGGTGATCCAAGGAGTGAGAAAAAGTGKCTGGAGGTGAATTTGTGCTCCCCCAGCCTGGGACTGGCCCTTTATACCCTCCTGAGGAAGGGAAYGGCTCCAGAGTGGGGCTCACCCCGCTGATTAACCGAGCCTGGCACACCCACGGTGAGTTCACCATGAGCACCCATGGAGATCTCAAAAAAAAGTGCAGGGGTTGCATTTTTTTTTGGTGTTGAAATATCTGAGAAAACCTCGATAGCGGCTGCTCAGCTGCTGTTTGCAGCCGCCCCTTTCCCACTTCCTCTTCCACGGCTGCAGGAGATGGTTCCTTGTTGGGCAAGTGTTTGCTCATCTCCATCCCMCAGGTGAATCAACCCCGGTTGTGTAAGGCTGATTGGGCTGATTTTGGGATGTTGGTTCCTGGTGCAGGGTCTGAGCTCTGAGGAGCCTCTGATYTGGAATTTTGGTTCTGAGAAAACTCCAGAGGGGCAGCAGCACCTCAGGCCATGACTGGTGGAAATTCTGGGCTCGTTCTTATGCCCAAATGAGAATTCTTTAAAGCAGGGCTGGT